GCCTTTGGTGTCTCCCATAAGTTTTGATAAATTATGCTTTCATTTCCAGTCATTTCTAAATATTTTGATTAACTTCTTCATTGACCAGTTATTGTTTAATAGTATGCTCATTTTTATACAATTTTCAGGTTTTCTTTCTGTTTAAAAAACAGTTTTATTGGTACTTCACACATCATACAATGCAATAATTCAATTACATCAGGAAAAGTTGTAGAATTATCACCACAATCAATTCTGAAACATTTTTCTCTTCCTTATCCTCATTGTTAGTCATGTAATTACTTTTAATTGTGACAAAAATATACACAACAAAACATTTTCCAATTCAACAATTTATTTGTGCGTAATTCAGTACCATTGATTATACTCCTTGTGTTGTACAACCACTATTGATATCCTTTTCCAAATTATTCCACAACCATTAACATAAACTCAATGCCTGGTAAGCAACAACTCTTCCTCCATTCACCTATAGTGATTATCATTTATCAAGTTTGGTTTCTTTTCTTCCTTTTTCTTAGTAGCTTTTTTGATATAGTATTCACATACCATACACTTCCATAGTTAAGTCACATTTTAAAAGAGTTGTATATACATCATCACAATCAGTTCTAATGCTCCCTCCCGACTCCTGCATTCATTGTTTGCTCCCCAAATCCCCTAACCTTACCCCACACCCCACCAAAATATTGCATCAGTTATTGTCTCTATGCATCCACTCCTTTTGTGCTTCACAAGCTGAGAAACTCAACAGAAATAATAAAAAACAAAAACTACCAAAATAAAATAATAATATAAAGACAATAAAAGTAATGAATAAGAAAAAAGATCACCATCAAAAAGCCAGAGAAGAAATATCTGTCGTGGAACAAGTGAGAAATAGTTGAGCCTGGAGCAAATTCAGGTTAGGTCAAGGGGAGGTCACCTGACCAGGGTGTGTTATACTATGGTTTGATCCACGATGATCAAGTTTACAATAATCTCTGTCTGATAGTAAAATTGTTCTGTGGCTAGAGGAGATCTGCCAAAGGCTTAATCTGGCTAAATACTCTGCAGATGGATTTTGGGCTTCCACTCTGCTCCACAGTCTTCCGCACAATTTTCAGTTGTTCTTATGCTATTTATTTTTATCTTGATTCTGCTGTAGTCGCAGAAACTACTTCAAGTAATTTCAATCTCTTAAAATATATTAAAACTGGTTTTATTGACTAACATATGAGTTGTCCTGGAGAATGATCCGTGTGCAGGGCTTCTTCAACTTTTTCTCTTGACTTCTTTTCAGATGAGAAAATTGGAACATGAGCCAGTGCTGCCAGAAACACCTCGCCCTAAGTATGCATTTGATTTTGAATTAATTTTTGGCTGTGGCTTATACAGAAAACTTTCACTATTGCCTATATTTTCTTGATCTCAAGTTCTTTAAATCAAAAGTGAATCTATTATTGATCACTTGCAGTTAAATCATTTATTATTATCTATCCTGGCAATCAGTTCCTTTTGGTTTCAGAAATCAATTACTTATGACTAAAGTAATGACTGATAGATATGGAAAGGCTTGCTTCATCCAGTTTATTATTTTTCTATGTATCATGCTGTGTTAGTGTCTGGGTACTTTAGAGAAACAAACTCACAGAAACTCATGTATAAGAGACAGTTTTATATAAAGGTTCAGTGCATATCAAGAAAACATCCCAACCCAGTGCTGCCCAAACCCACAAGTCCAACATTAACCCAGATGTCCAACACCAATCCACAAAGTCCTCCTCCATCTCACAAAACACACACAGTGATGCCGACTACAGGGGGAAAGCCGAATCAGTGAACATGTAAGCATTTCAGCACTGGCAGAGCGCTGTTCCAGCACCCAGGGCTGCATGGGGGTAGGTCCATGCAGCTTCTCTTTGGGGATGTCTTCCAGGAAGTAAGTATTGCCAGCTGAAGCAGAGAACTGGCTAAGGTGACTGCCTGTCTGACCATCACAAATCAAGAGACCTGAGAACTGTGAAGGCGAGGGTCAACAAGCCATTTATCCTTCTACCCTTCAATTAACCCAACATGTGTTTATCAGCCAGGTTGGCACAATTAACTACCTCACATGCCTTTTTTGTTCCTAATTTCTGCCAATATTATCTAACTTTTTGTTTAGTTCTTTATTCAGTAGCAGCTATATTTTTTAAAGTGCATGTTGCTAATCTCTTTTTCTTGTATATGGTTACCACATAGGGTACACTTTGTTGCTGTGGCTAATTAGTAGCTATTGGATCAGTTCCAACTCGTAATAGTCTTCTTACAACTAAAAGACACACTGGCCACTTCGGTACCATCCTCATAATTGTTATGTTTGAGCCCATTGCTGCAGCCACTGTCTGTGAATTTTGTTGAGGTGTCCCTCTTTTTGTCACTGGCCTTCCACTCTACCAACATAACATCCTTCTCCAGGGGCTGGTCTCTCTAGTTGACGTGTCCAAAACACATGAGACAAAGTCTTTACATCCTCATTCCTGAAGAGCATTCTGGCTCTACTTCTTCCAACATCGATGTGTTCATTCTTCTGGCAGTCTAATATTTTTTCAACAACACCATAATTCAAAGGCATCAACTGTTCTTCAAGCTTTGTCATTCATGGCCCACCTTGCACATGCATATGAGGTGATTGACAAGCACATGGTGTGAATTAGGCTCACGTTAGCCCTCAATGTGACATTCTGCTTTTGATCACTTCAAAGAAGTTTGTTTGTTTTAAATCATTTTATTGAGGGCTCTTACAATTCTTATTAAAATCCATACATCAATTATATCAGGGAAATTTGTACATATGTTGCCATCATTCTTTTCTAGATGATTACTTCCTATTGAGCCCATGGTATCAGCTCCTCTTTTGTTCCCCTCTACCCGCCTCCCACCATCTTGGTGACCCTTTGATAGATTATAAATTATTATTTTCATATCTCACACTGACCACTGTCTCTCTTCCCCCATGGTTTCTGTTTTTCTTCCCCCTGGAGATGGGGATGTGGTTGTTTGTTGATCATTATGATCAATTCCCCCTTCTTCCCTGCCCCACCTTCTCCCTACCCATCTAGTATCGCTATTCCCATTCCTGCTCCTGGGTTGCTTGTGTCGTGAGTTCTTATCTCTTCTCTATACCTGTGTACATACTCTGTTATAGTCTGAAGTAAGAGGCATCACTGGAATCGTGGTAGTGGGGGTGGGGGTGAGAAAGCCTCAAGAAACCAGAGGAATATTGTGTGTTTCATCAGTGCTTTACTGCACCCTGGTTGACTCATCCCTTCCCTGTGACCCCTCGGTGGGGGATGTTCTATTGTCTACAGATGGGATTTGGGTCTCTGATCCACCCCCATCATTCTCATCCATATAATTTTGTTTGTTTATTAAGGGTCTTCTGATGCCTGTTACCTGGTCCCAACGACACCTCATGCTCTCAAAGGCTGGTGTGATTTGTCCATGTGGGCTTGTTGATTCTCGGCTGAATGGCTGCTTGTTTAACTTCAAGCCTTTAAGTTCCCAGATGCTGTAACGTTTAATAGCTGGGTACCATCTGCCTTATTCACCACATTTGCTTATGAACCCATTTTGTCATCAGCAATTGTACTGGGAGGGTGACCATCTCAGATTGCCAGTTCATTAGAACAAAGTATTCTTGTATTGAGGGACGGTATGAGCAAAGTCCCAAATTCCATCTACATCCTCAGTGTATCGCCATATAAATATATGTACATAGGCCAATACCTCTATTTTTATGGATTAATGTATTTACATATGGACACATGTTTATACTTTTATCCATAGCTTAGATTCCTAGAACATTCCTGTTTCCTTTTACCTTCCTTCTGCCCCACCATCACGTTCCCTTACTTCTGCCTCTTAATAATTCCTCTCAGCTAGATTGCTGTTGCGTCAACACTCCCAGGATCTCTATAGTTTCCTCGTTTTTGATTTTTATTCCCTGTTGTTCCACAGTCTATGGCGTTGTTTGCTCACCGCACCCTTCCCCCACCCTCTTCTCCTCACAAAGTCCCTCCGGACCGTGGTCCCATTGCTTTCTCTTTGAGCTTGTTTCCCATGCCTGTCTTAGGTAAGTAGGCATACCAACAATGGCATAGGCCAAACAAATAGAAAACAAATGGATTAAAAAAAAGTAAAAGAATGCATAATTCTAGGTCTGTCCACTGACCTTTATGACTATCTTCCCACTGGTCCTGGGGGAATTCCCAGAGCTGCCCCTCCTAACCTGAAGTATGTTTGGGGGAGCTCTTTAGGTGCTCTGTGGCTTGGCTTTGCTCCTATTGCTGATCTGTTATGTTCCCTTCTTGGTTTGCCCTGCTGTGGCGTTCAGACCACACTTCCTCCCTGCTGTGTGTCCCCAGTATTGTCCTTTGTCATGGTATTCGCCAGTAAGGGAACAACAGGTCATGAGCTGCTGTTGGCCCTACAGTCTTGTGCCTTAGCAGTTACATGCAGGTACATCATCCTCCGGGCTTGGTGTGCCGAAATGGAGGCTAGACCTACCATCCCTGTCTTTTTTCTTCTTGATTTGCTTCCATGTGAGAGTGATACACCAGCCCCTCACCCCAACCTGTAGGCTTAATGTTGTTCTCTGTTGCACGTACTTCTAAGGAGGGGGTCAATTTGGCTCTGGTTGGGGTCAGCCCTGTAGCCCAGTCTTTTCATGCATTCCTCCTCATGGTTAAGTCGCCCTCATGGTTTGGTGCATTGTGGTGGGGTCTGTATGCATACTCCCGATTCTGTGGAGACATAACCAATACTCTCCACCTGGGTGGGTTAGTGCCCTGCCCCCTCGTATCTTATCCTCACTCTCAACCCACCCTCTGCTTTTCTCCCTCTTCCTTCTCCCCTTCCCCCTTATTTGTGTTGGATTAACTGTATCTCCTGACCGCCACCTGACTGCCTGTAACTCAATCTGTACATTGGGAGATAAGTGACTTTTCTTCTATACCTACTATGCTGGATATACTTACCTCAGGGAACTCATGTTATACTTGGCCATTTGTGATTGGCTGGCTTTGTTTAGCATAATTTCCTCAAACTCTTCCAATGAAACGACATGTTTCATGTGATCATTAGTGCTTTTTTGTGATGCATAGTACTCCATTGTATGTATGTGCCAGAGTTTACTAATGTACTCGTCTATTGAAATTTAGGTTGTTTCCAGCTCTTTGGGATTGTGATTTGTGCTGCAATGAACATTGGAGTGCTGATGACTGGTTGTGATCTATTTCTTACCTCTTCTGAGTTTATGCCCAGTAGAGGGATAGCAGGGTTATAAGGTAGATCAATTTCCATTTGTTTTAGATATCGCCAGACCACTTTCCACAGAGGCGGTACATATCTATACAACCACCAGCAATTGAGGGGAGTTCCTGTCTTGCCACATCCCCTCTAACATTTTTGTTCTCTTATTTTCTGATTTGGGATAATCTCAAGGGTATTAGATGGTATCTCATGATTGTTTTAATTTGCATCTCTCTGATAGCTAATGATCGGGCGCATTTTCACATACATTTATTGGCCACATGGGTCACCTCCCTAGTGAAACTTCGTTTCAGTTCTTTTGCCCACTTCCTCAGGGGATTAACTGTTTTTCTTTTTTTGCAGGTCATGAGGGCATTGTAGAGTTTAGTAATATGCCCTTTGTCAGTTATGTCATTGCTAAAAATCCTTTCCCAGTCTGTGGGTTGCCTTGTTATCCTCTTTATGAAATCTTTCGATGCCCGCAGGTGTTTTATCCTTAGTAGATCCCACTTGTCAATTTCAGGTTCACCTCTGTGTGTACCTTTCACGATTGCAGGTAGCCTATGTATTCCTTAGGCTAAGGTTCTTGGGTTTGTTCTGTTTCCTTTGTTGATGGCCCTGATAGGATGTGATTTTACATCTAGGTCTGTAATGTACCTTGAGTTTGTTCTTGTGCATGGGGTGAGGTAAACATCTTGTTTCATTTTTCTACATGGGGATATCCATTGTTTCTAGCACCTCTTGCTAAATAGGGCATCCACCTCCCACTTGCTGCTTATGAGGCCCTTGTCAAAGACCAATTGTCTATATGCTGATGGTTTTATTTCTGAGTTTTCTGTTCTTTTCCATTGGTCTGAGGATCTGTCATTATGCCAGTACCACACTGGTTTGACCACTGTGGCTGTGTAGTAGGTGTTAAAGTAGGGTAAAGCGAGCCTTCTGACTTTGTCCTTCTTCTTGAGGAGTTCTTTGCCAATTCTGGGCTTCTTCTCGCTCCATATGAAACTGGTGGTCAGATTTTCCAGTTCTTTGAAGCAGATTGTTGGTATTTGAATCAGGATAGCTTTAAATTTATAAAGTGCCTTGGGTAAGATTGACATCTTTACTGTGTTGAGTCATCCAATACATAAGCATGGGCTATTCTTCCATTTGTGGAGGTCTCTTTTGGTTTCCTGTCTTGGGTTTTGTAGTTTTCATTGTATAAGTCTTTTGTTCTTTCAGTTAAATATATTCCTAGATATTTCAATTTGTTCTTGGCTATTGTGAAGGGCACTGCCTTCCTGATCCCTCTTCTGTGGTTTTGTCTGATGCATATACCAAACCAATAAACTGCTGTTTGTTGATCTTGTATCCTGCCACTCTTCTGTGTTCCTCTTCGCTGCCAGTACTCCTATTGTGGAGCTTTGGGGATTTTCAATGTACAGAATCATGTCATCTGCAAATAGCAATAGTTTCACCTCCTCTTCACCCAGTTAAATATCTTTAATGTCCTTGTGTTTTTATCTGGGCCCTCCAGTACAATATTGAATAGAAGTGAGGACAAGGGGCAACCTTGCCCGGTCCTCTTTTTCGGTGGGATTGTTTTTGTCATTTCTCTACTGACTATGATGTTGGTTGTTGGCTTTTCGTAGATAGCTCGTATTAACTTGAGGAATTTTCCTCCATTCCTATCTTCTTGAGAGTCTTAATTAGGAATGGTTGTTGGATGTTGTCAAATGCATTTTCTGCACCTATAGATATTATTGTGTGATTCTTCTACTTGTTTTTAATCGATGTGGTGCATGATATTGATGGATTTTTGGATGTTAAATCATTCCTGCATTCCTGGAGTGAATCCTACCTGATCATGGTGGATGATATGCTTTATATACTTTTGTATTCTATTGGCCAATAGCTGGTTAAGGATTTTTGCATCTAAGTTCATTAGAGATATTGGTCTGTAGCTCTCTATTCCAGTAGGGTCCTTGCCCTGTTTGGGTATCAAAGTTATACCGGCTTCGTAGAATGAGTTTGGGAGTTGTCCACCCTCTTCGATGGTCTGGAATAATTTGTGGAGGATCGGTGTCAGCTCCCCTCTGAATGTTTGGTAAAATTCCCCTGTGAAGCCATTTGGTCTGGGAGACTTTTTCGTTGGTAACTTCTTGATAACCATATATTTCTCCTCTATCTCCATGGGTCTTTTGAGATTCTGGACCTCTATCTGGGATAATTTAGGACGGGATTATTTTTGTATTTGTGCAAGTTTTCCGCCTTGTTGAATTCATTAGAATAGAGACTTTCACAGTAGTTTGTGATTATCCTTTTAATCTCATTAGGGTCTGTTGTGATTTCCCCTGTTTCATCCCTCATCCTGGCTATTGATGTTTGCTCCTTCCTTTCCTTAGTTAGGTTTGCCAATGGTCTGTTGATTGTGTCGATCCTTTCATAGAACCAGCTTTTTGCTGCATTAATCTTTTACACCATTCTTTTGTCTTCCCACTGGTTTAACTCTGCCCTGGTTTTTATTATTTCTTTTCTTTTTCTATTGGAGGGGTTGTTCAGTTGACTTTGTTCTAATTGCTGGAGGTTTTGTGATAGCATATCAATCATAAGTCTCTCTTCCTTTTTCATATAAGCATCTATTGCTGTCAGGCTATCTCTGATAACTACGTTTGCCATATCCCATAAGTTTTGATACGTTGTATTCTCATTTTCATTAGTTTTAGAAATGTCCTAGACCCCTCTCTAATCTGGGCCAGTACTCATTCATGTCTCAGAAGATCGTTACTCATCCTCCAATTGTTTGCCCTTGTTTTTCTGGTCATCCTTTACTTAATCCCCAATTTTATGGCATGGTGATCTGAGAAGGATGTCTGAGTAATCTCAATGTGTTTGAGTTTATTCAGACTCACCTTGAGTTCCAGTATGTGGTCTATTTTCAAAAATAAGCCATGAGCACTTGAAAAGAATGAATTTTTTTGCATTTGAATGGAAAACTATATATGTCTGTCAGGTCCACTTGCCTAATTGTTTAGCTCTGTAGACTCCATATTTAGCTTCTTTCCCAGTGGTCTATCTTTCTCTGATAGTGGCGTATTAATGTCACCTACTATGATTGTTGACTCTGTGGTTTCTTTTTTCATCTTTTGAATAGTTTATTTGAGGAATTTTGCAGGTTTCTTGTTAAGGGGTATGTATGTCTGGGTAAACTAGGGAAACAAATTCACAGAAACTCAAAACTATGAGACAGTTTTGTTTTTTTAAATAATCATTTTATTGGGGCTTTTACAACTCTTATCACAATCCACACATACATCTATTGTGTCAAGCATTTTTGTACATTTGTTTCCATCATCATTCTCAAAACATTTGCTTTCTACTTGAGCCCCTGGTATCCGCTCCTCATTTTCCCCATCCCTTCCCCCTCCCCTATGTACCCTTGATAATTTATAACTTATTATTATTTTGTCATATCTTACAACATCCAACATCTCCCTTCAACCACGTCTCCACTGTCCATCCTCCAGGAAGGAGGTTATATGTAGATTCTTGTAATCTGTTCCCCACTTTCTCCCTCACCTTCCCTCTACCCTCCCAGTATCACCACTCTCACCACTGGTCTTGAGGGGTTCATCTGTCCTGGATTCCCTGGGTTTCCAGTTCATATTTGTATCAGTGTACATTCTCCGGTCCAGCCAGATTTGAAAGGTAGAATTGGGATCATGATAGTGGGGAGGGGGAAGCATTCATGAACTAGGGGAAAGTTATATGTTCCATCATTGCTACACTGCACCCTGACTGGTTCAAAGAGACAGTATTATATAAAGGGCAAGTGTACATTCAGAAAGCATCCCAACCCAGTCCAGTCCAAGCCAATAAATCCTACTTAGCCCATATGTCTGACACCAATCCACAAAGTCCTCCTTAAACTCACAAAACACACACAATGATGCAAAACGCAGGACGATCACAGGTCAGTGGGTAGAAAGTCTTTGAATCCAGTGGCTGTGTTAGCCTCTCAGTGCTGGCAGGGGTATCCACACAGCTTCTCCAGCTCCCAAGGCTGTATCAGGGTAAGTCCATGTGGCTTCTACTCAGGGATGTCTTGCTGGAAGTGAGCCTTGCCAGCTGAGGACTAGCTAATGCAGCCTCACACTGGTCTGACCATCACACAGCAATAGACAAGAGAACTAGAAAGGTGAGGCTCACCAAGCCATTTATCTTTCCACCCTTCAATTAATCCCACATGTGTTTATCAGCCAGGTTGGCACAATAATCCTTAACTATCAAAGGGGGGAATATATTTATTATGCTCACTGGTTCCTGGTTGACTGATCCTTTGAGCATTGTATAGTGCCCCTCTTGGTCTCTTTTTATAGTTTGAACCTTGAGATCAATTTTGTCAGAGATTAGGATGGCGAACCCTGCTTTCTTTAGGTTGCTGTTTGCCTGGTATATTTTCTGCCACCCTTTTATTCATAGCCAATATTTGTCTATGAGTTTAAGATGTTTCTCTTGCAAAAATAGATTGATGGGTTATGTTTTCTGAGCCAGTCTGCTAACCTTTTTCATTTAATGTATGAATTAAGACCATTGACAGGCAGGGTTATTAACACAATCTTGGATAATTTAACTATTATATGCCTTGATGAGTTGTTCCTGGGGTTTAGTCTATTTGGTGTGCTCTCTGCTTCCTTTATGAGTGTCTGGTTCTCATTCATTAAGGCAGAAAAGTTTGCTTCCAGAAATTTCCTCACTAAATTAGCTGTTGGTTTCTTCATTGTTTCTTGTTCTGGTAGACCCATTATTCGAATATTTATCCTATTCATAGCATCTGTCATTGATCTCTGGTTTTCTTCTACCTCCTGTATTATCTTCTTT